CTTCTGATCTAGCTACCTGCTTATGGCCTGGAAAAACAGTGGAAAATGGGCCAAATCCTTGGGTTCCTACACCAATATGGGAGACCCAAAAGAAACCCTAGACTCCTTGTTTTAGTTCCCTTAGCCCCAACCATTTGGGGGTGAGCCAGAGGATGGAGGATGGCTCATGTGGAGAATCTTCCCCCTTCAAGTGGCAGCAGTCTATATAAACAACTAGTTCATGTCCCGGCTGCTCCACTTCCCATCCAACTCCCTGCTTGTGGCCTGGGAAGGCAGTGGAGGATGACAATCCTGCACGAACCTGGAAGAAGCTCCTGGCTCCTGGCTTTGGATTGGCTCAGCTGCAGCTGTTGTGGCCATTTGGGAAGTGAATCAGTGGATGGAAAATCTTTGCTTCTCTGTCTCTCCTTCTCTCTGTAAATCTGCCTTTCAAATAAAAATAAATCTTAAAAAGAACTTGTTTTGCTTATTCTAGATTTTTTTTACCTGTCTTTATAAATTTTTGAGTCAGTTTTTCAGTTTCTACAGAAGTGCCAGGTAAACCTTGAGATCATGGTGAATCTACAGATAGGTCCAGTGGTAACTGCCTCTAATAACAGATCTTCCAATCCATGGGTGTTGTATACCTTCCGTTTATTTAGGCTTTAATTTATGTCATATATATATTTATGCCATATATATTTACATATATATGTATATATACATGTATGTATGTATATATATATATATTTTTAAGTTAAAGGCAGCCCTAAATACTTAATGAGAGAGAATATCAGAAATCTTTTGTCTGCCAGTTCATTCTCCAAATTTCCACAACAGTAAGGGCTGGGCCAGGGTGAAGCCAGGAGCCAGGAACTTCATCAAGGCTTCCTATATGGGTGATGGGACCCAAGTACTCAGACCATCGCCTTCTGCCTTGTAGGTGCATCAGCAGGAAACTGGGTCAGAAGTGGGGTCGTCAGGACTCCAACCAGCACTCTGATATAGAATGTGGGCACCCCAACCAGTGGCTTAACTCTCTGTACCACAAAACCTACTCCTGGAACTTTCATCTTCTAGAATTTCATTACAAGAAAAGAAATATAATTTATAATTGTATTTAACCTTGTATCCTGCAATTTGGCATTTTTGTTTGTTCTGGAATTTTTTAAGTTTTCTTTTTAAGATTTATTTTATTTTTATTGGAAAGTCAGATATACAGAGAGGAGGAGAGACAGAGAGGAAGATTTTTCCATCTGATGATTCACTCCCCAAGCAGCCACAATGGCCAGGACTGCCAATTTCAAGTCAGGAGCCAGGAGCTTCTTCCAGGTCTCCCACGTGGGTTCAGGGTCCTAAGGCTTTGGGCCATCCTCCTCTGCTTTCCAAGACCACAAGCAGGGAGCTAGAAGGAAACTGGAGCAGCTGGTACATGAACGGGAGCCCGTATGGGATCCTAGCACATGCAAGGCAAGAATTTAACCACTAAGCTATTGTCCTGGACCCCAGTTTCTGTTTTTTATTTCTTTTTTTTCCCTTTCTATTTCTTATTTCTGATTATAGTAGTGGCAACTATTTAGTATCTAGTATGTGCCCCACATTGTACTAAAACCCAGCATGCACCATTTTATATAGTTCTTAGAGGATTTCTATGAACAAGGACACAAAGGCTCAGAAGGATAAATAATTTTCTGTACTTATTGGCATTTGATTGGCATTTGATGTATGTTGGAGCCAAGATTTGAACCCAGGGCTGGTTGGTTTTGAAACATAAGCTTTTCCCCCATATTGGCTGGGAGTAGAACCATTCCTTTCGGGACACTGCTCTGGTTTCAGATCAGACGCTTAAGAACAGTTGTCTCCTAGTTTCCCATGTATGGGATGAGGGGAAAGCAGCAACTCTCAGAAAATGTCCTGTTCCTGGCTGCCCTGTGTGTGCTGCTGTGGCTTCCAGCTGGCCACACAGCTCCCTCCCTCTTGCAGTGTTAGTGGAAGAAGTGAACTGGGACCATGCCCAGCTGACTCCTGGTGCCTTTCCCTGGGTGGCAGCTATCTCAGCCGGGCCCTGCTGGGATGGGGTGTCATGGGGACCTGGAGCTATGGTTGTAAACAGGGCCCTGGGCTGCCTGAGTCAGAGAGAGCAGCCTCGGGAGAAGAGGACTTGGCCTCTCAGGATCCCGTTTCAGTTAGTTGCCACAACCGCAGTGTCCCTGTGCTGTAAGGCCGCCTCCAATGCCACTGTCCCTGACCCTTTTGGCCTGGCCCAGCTTGGAAATTCCCGCCTGGAAACACCGGGTCAGGGAGAGACTTTGCAGTGTGGCCTCTGACATCAGCACTGATACTGCCCAACAAAGAGTGGGGTGGAATTTTTTAAAAAGATTTATGTATTTTTATTGCAAAGTCAGATACACAGAGAGGAGGAGAGACAGAGAAGAAGATCTTCTAACCATTGATTCACTCCCAAGTGACTGCAACAGCCGTTGCTAAGCCGATCCGAAGTCAGGAGTCAGGAACTTCTTTCTGGTCTCCCACTGGGTGCTGGGTCCCAAGGCTTTGGGCCATCCTCGACTGCTTTCCTAGACCATAAGCAGGGAGCTGGATGGGAAGTGGAGCTGCCGGGATTAGAACCGGCACCCATATGGGATCCTAGTGCGTTCAAGGCAAGGATTTTAGCCACTAGGCTGCTGCACTGGGCCCTCGGGTGGAATTTTGGCACCTGCAGCACCTGGGCCTCCTGGCTGGGTCTTCTGGTGGCAGCTTCTGGTGTTGGTTCCCAACAGCTGTCCTAGGGGTCAGTTTTCCCAGACTTCTGATGGCTCCTCTGTTTTTTAATTTTATTTTATTTTTGCTGTTTACATTGTTGATAGAATGCATACCCATGAGGACCAAGGAATAGGTTAGGGAGGGCCTAGGCAGTGGGACAAATGCTTCCAATTTTCCTTTTCTTCCTTTTTTCCTGTACGTGGGGGATGGGGCAAGGGAGGAGGGCTGCTCCCCACTGCCAAACTACATCAGTCCACTGATGTCATCTTAGAAACTCTGACGTGGAGAATGTTCTGAGGGTGTTGCTTGAGCTTTTATTTTTTTAAGATTTATTTTGTTTTTATTGCAAAGTCAGATATACAGAAAGGAGGAAAGACAAAGATCTTCCATCCGATGATTCACTCCCCAAGCAACCGCAATGGCCAAAGCTGCGCTGATCCAAGGTTAGGAGCCCAGAGCCTCTTCTGGATCTCCCATGTGGGTGCAGGGTCCCAAGGCTTTGGCTGTTCTTGACTGCTTTCCCAGGCCATAATCAGAGAGCTGGAAGGAAGCAGGACTGCTGGGATTAGAACTGGCACCCATATGGGATCCTGGTGTGTACAAGCCGAGGACTTCAGCTGCTAGGCTACCATGCTGGGCCTGCTTGGGTGATGTTGATATTTCCAGGAAGCTGTTGGTTTTGCTGCTCCAAGGTTGAGGAAAGTCTTTCTTTTTTTATTTTTTTTTAAGATTTATTTTTTATTATTTTTTTATTGGAAAGGCAGATATACAGAGAGGAGAGACAGAGAGGAAGATCTTCCGTCCGATGATTCACTCCCCAAGTGAGCGCAACGGGCCGATACTATGCCGATCCGAAGCCAGGAGCCTCTTCCAGGTCTCCCACGCGGGTGCAGGTTCCCAAAGCTTTGGGCTGTCCTCGACTGCTTTCCCAGGCCACAGGCAGGGAGCTGGAAGGGAAGCAGGGCTGCCGGGATTAGAACCGGCGCCCATATGGGATCCCGGGCGTGCAAGGCGAGGACCTTTAACCACTTGCGCCACCGCGCCGGGCCCGGAGGAAAGTCTTTCAAGGTCCATTGACTGACGGAGTCCACCCCAGTTTATCTACTCACCCAGACACTTGCTATCAAATCTTGACCAGGAGAGTTGTCCAACCTGTTCTGCTCTCCATCTTCTTACATGGCATTCAACATCCTCTGCAGACCCAAATGAGCTGGCTGTCATGTCCCTCTTATGCAGCTGGACATGCTGCCTACTGTGCAGGCACCAACAATCACGCCTCTTAACAAGGCGTGCTGCTGGTCTGAAATAAATATCTTTTAATAAAGCTAAGGATAAGGACCCAACATGGTAGCCTAGTAGTTAAAGTCCATGCCTTACATGCACTTGGATCTCATATGGGTACTGGTTCGCATCCTGGATGCTCCACTTCCCATCCAGCTCCCTGCTTGTGGTCTGGGAAAGCAGTTGAGGATGGCCAAAGCTTTGGGACCCTGAACATGTTGAGAGACCCGGAGGAAGCTGGCTTCAGGTCGGCTCAGTTCCAACCATTGTATCTATTTGGGTAGTGAATCAGCAGATGGAAGATCTTTCTATCTCTCCCTCACTCTGTAAATCTGACTTTCCAATAAAATAAATAAAACTTAATTAAAAAAAAAATTAAAGGCAGGTATGTCTGCTTGTGTGTGTATTATAGAGAGACAGAGAGAGGGAGGGAGGAAAACCAGTTCCATTTTCTGGTTTACTCTCCATACACCCATAGCCAGGAAGGCAGTCCTCGTCTCCCGTGTGGGTGTCAGGGACTCTGGCTTGATGCATCACCTGCTGCCTCTCGGGTGTGCAGGAGCGGAAAGCAGGAATTGGAAATCTAACAGGGACATGAACGCAGACATTCTGATATGGACCGCAGGGGTCTCAGCTGGCATCCCAGGCCGAATGCTTGCACCTTTAACCCTAACTTTTAAAAATGCTGGTAAGCCAAGCCTTTTCCTGTCTGCAGGAAGTCCTCAACTGAGAGTCCTTGTGGAGAACACCAAGCGCTCCAGAAAGCAAAGGTGAAAAGGTCACTGGTCCTCCGGAGTCCTCTTGCCCATGACCTCAAGGAACGGAGGTGGTGCAGGGCCGACTGCTTAGGGGGAGCTCTGCTGCCAAGCAGGGAGGCTGGCACTGCTGCCAGGGGACCACTTCTCTGCCATGTAGTTGCAGTAGTTGATCCTGCCCACAACCTGGACTCACTTGATGTGCTTCCTCTCTCCCCGCAGATGCCTGTGACATCGTTGCTGAGGTTTGTCCATGCTTGGAAGGAGCCTTGCTTTCGGGAGTGACCACATTTATCTGGGCATGCCTGCAGCACTCTGGGCCCATGGACCTGCAGGAGCAGCATCTGGTAGGTCATGCCTGCTACCCCTCAGATATTGACTGAGCTCTCTCTAGGACTCCCCCTGCTTGCTTTGGCCTGGGAGATCCTCTCTGGGGATTTGAAGTCAAAACTGAGAGACAGAGGAGGGTGTGACTGCGCCTGGGGTGGGTTTCTGAGACCATTCTGGAAGGTAGGGTCACTGAGCTGGAAGCTCTAGATGAAGGTGGAGGTCAGAGGAGGCGAACTTCACTGTGTGGTGTGGCGGGGGCGTGTCTCATTTGGGTTGGCACCAAGCCATCCTTCCACCTCTCGCCCAGGGGTGTGTAATTTAGTTTGTTTGCTCCCTACTGGGGTTGTGCCCCAACCTGCTGAGCCATGTAGAGTGTTGTCAGGCACCCTGTCTGTGGTTAGAAATGATCTTTCCAATCAGATCCCAAACACAGCTGCTTAATCAGCTAGTGCTGAGCCTCCAAGGGGTCCGGGCTGTCCTGGAGATGGGCTGAGCCTCCAGGCACACTGCCTTGGGGTGGAGGCAGGCTTATCAGTTGGACATCCCTCCCCGGGACAGAGGCTGCTCTTGCCCGCCTCCTGCCCTCCTCTCCCAGGAGATCTCTCCATCTGCTCACAGCCTCCGCTCGGCTGCTGTAAGCCTGGTCAGCAGCCAAACCTGCTACAGCACCTCCCCTTGTGCAAGGCGCTGGCCTCCAGGTCCCTAGCCCAGCCCGTCAGCCTAGACCACCACTGCTGATGGCAGTGCTTCTGGGTTTGGGTGCATACACCTTGTGTAGGCTGTCGCCTCTCAGTACTGACCACCCCTTTTTCCTGGCTATCCTCTTCTACTCTTTCTGCAAGTTTGGGTGTTGTCTTCCCCGCCCAAGTCCTCCCTTCACTCAGTCCTCTCTCTCAGTCTCCCTGTACTCTGCCATCTTATTCGTTATACTCCATTGAAAGGCTCTTCCACTTTATCTCAGTTCCTCTGGCTGCCTGCACAGAGCCTGGCATGCAGCAAGGGCTTCGTGAGTATTTGTTGACCTGAACTTCAGAGCAGTGATCTTCCTGTGGAAGAGAATTTGGGAGATGTGGAGAAGGAGCTGTGGGTCCATTTCCCTGGTGGCACTTAACTGGATGCTGCTGTGGTAACCCCAGACTTTCTGTACTTCTGGACCAGGCTTGTGAATTTGAACTTGAGGCCGATGTGTTCAGCCTCCTGTCACTGGTATTCACCCTAACAGTGACTGTGTCTGGTGGTAGTCTGGCATAACGCTGCTAAAATAGTTGCTAGTGCCATGCATTGCTCAGTTCCAGGAGGATCTGCTGTGTGCAGTGCTTTGGCCTGCCTCGGGATGCTGAGCGCCCCTACCACAGATGGTGGGGTTGCCCTCTGGTTCCAGCCTCTTACTGAAACCCTTATCCCTGATGTGTCAGGAAAACAACATTCTAGGTTCAGGCAGCTGGCTTCTCTCTAGAGTCTGAGGAAGACTCAAGCACCCAAGCCTAGGTGCCTTCATTGTGGCTCCGTGGATTAAGCTGCTGCCTGCAGTGACAGCATTCCATAGGAGCTCCAGTTCACATCCTGACTGCTCCGCTTCCCTTTGTTTTTAATTTTCAAATTTTTATTTTTCTTTTTAATATTGTTTACATAGTTGAGAGGAGTGTGTCTCTGACTAGGGTGGGGAGGGTCAGGTATGGGGGACAGTAGGTGGGACACATGTTTCCATTGTGTTAGTTTCTGCCATGTCTGCAGGGAGGAAGGAGAAGGGACTTCCTTGTCAGCACCTAGGGACAGGGTGATCATTTGAGGACGCCTTAGAGACCCTGATGTGGGGAAGAGTGTTCCCTGGGCGTTACTGGAGTGGTTTCAATAGTTTAGAGACCTTGTTGGCTTCATTGCTCCAGGGCTGAGACGATCTGGCCCCCTCCCGCCCTGTCTGGGGAATCTTAATGGAGTTGTTGCATCCAGGCTTTAGCCTAGCCCAGGCTCAAATGGGGCCACTTGGGAGTCAACCAACAGATGGAAGATCCTTCCGCCAACCCCTCCAGTTCTGTAACTGCCCCTCCAAAAAAAATTTATATATATATATATAATATATGCATACACATATATAACAGATATATACATATTTTTTAAGTCTGGGCTGGAGAGCTGTCAGGGCCACTTTTTCTAGAGAGTTTGTAACTTCGTCCTCTTTCTGGGCAGGTGAGCCTCGTGGCTGGGGCACTGCCTGTGGCCTGGGCGATCCCTGGGCAGCAGGCAGGTGGCCACTGGCTTAGAGAGGCTCGCAGTAATTGAAAGTGTTGTGCTGGATTTTGATATCCCCAGAAAATTATTAAGTCTGAAGTCGGTGCTAAGGCATAAAGGTGGTTTACTCAGGTTAGCCTAGGTCTCCTAGCCATGCCCCCGCCTCCATGCAGCCCAGCAGGGCTGGAGGGGGAGGGGCCGCTGCAGCTGAGGCTGCTGCAGGATCAGCAGGGAGCACAAAAGAGGAGAGAGAGCCCCAGGCTGAACAGCCCAGGGTTCTGATACATTTCAGGCTATTAATTATACAGTCATGATTTAGCAGGCTTCTATTGGTGGGTTTGAAGCAAGCAACTTTCAAAAAGTACAGATTGAAGAGCTATAGGGTAGTGGGTCTTATCAAACACCAGGTACCTCCTTTCTGAGGAGTGGTCTGCCCAGTGACCTGCCAGGTGTCATGTAGACTGTCAGGCCTGGGGTTCATACAGCCTCTAGCCAAGCAATTAAGGCAGAATCACAAAAGCAGAAAACATCTAGGTTGTTCAAACGCAAAAGTTATCAACTAAGTGACAGGACCTAATGGGGTTTCTTTTTTTTTTTTTAAAGATTTATTGATTTTTATTGGAAAGGCAGATATACAGAGAGGAGGAGAGACAGAGAGGAAGATCTTCCGTCTGATGATTCACTCCCCAAGTGGCCGCAATGGCCGGAGCTGAGCTTCTTCCAGGTCTCCCACATGGATGCAGGGTCCCAAGGCTTTGGGCTGTCCTCGACTGCTTTCCCAGGCCACAAGCAGGGAGCTGGATGGGAAGTGGAGCTGCCGGGATTAGAACTGGTGCCCATATGGGATCCCGGCATGTTCAAGGTGAGGACTTTAACCACGATGCCATCACATTGGGCCCCCTAATGGGGTTTCTACTATTGAGGTACAGGAGAATTGCATACACGAAGGTGCTTGCAAAGAGAACCCCCGGGGCCCAGGGTGGTCTGAGGCTCTTGGTAGGAGCAGCATGGGGACCAGTTGGCAGAGGTGACTGATGGTCAGGGCTCCATCATTCCCTGGCTCAGCCCAGGGTTAGTTTGGTTGTTGCTGGGTAGTTTTTTGCACCCCACGCCGTTCTCTGGCCTGCCAGCTCTCAGCGTCTCCTTCCCAGCCCAGCTCCTGACCTAGAGCCCCTGGTGGACCTGCTATAGTGCTGATACCTGGGTGCCTGGTATGGTTGCTCATGTGAGAGATAGCAGAAGGATGGGGAAGAGCTGTGAGGGGCTGTCCAACCCCTGGGCTTGCCCTCCTCTCCTTGCTGTCTTCTTTCAGGCCTGCCACACAGAAGGGAGCCAGTTTTTTGGCTTGTTCATCTTTGTGCTGGTCTTCATAGCGGCCAGCACAGGAGCTGATCCCACCCTCCCTGCCTTCCTGCTCCCAGTGGCAGCTTCCTGCCCTTCGAGGCTGGACTGCCTGGCCCCTCCTAGCTGTTCCCATTCTCTGTTTGGCAGGGCCCCACGGGGAGCTGTGCTAGAGCAGGGGGCGGGACGGAGAGGCTCTGGCTTTTTCTTCCCTTCCTTGCAGCTTGAGATGGTGTCGTCTAGGAAACCGAGGGCCCTGGAGAACCACGCTGGGCCTCCGGCTCTGCGCCTCAGCTAGGGGACCATTAGGCTGTGTCTTCTCCTTTGGGTTTATGGCCTGGCCCTAGATGGAGGAGTGTCTTCCCAGTGCCCGGCCCCTCCCGTCCCAGGGTACCTGTGCTGAGAAAGCTTCCCAAGCTCTGTGGATGCTCCAGGAGGTGAGGTGCATGCCGTAGGAGACCCACGTCGGAGGGGAGGTGCATGCTGACTAGGAGACATAGGTCTCCTCTTTCTGCCTGGAGAAGGAAAGACTTGGGTGTCTCTAGGTCCCAGCAGCCCGTGGGCAGTTGTATTTCTGTGTGTGGGCTTTCAGCTCATACCGATTAGTGGCTGGTGAGGGCCCTGCACCACCTGCCACCTGCAGGGAAGGTGCTGGGATGCTGCTGCTTGCTCCGCCCTCCTCCACTGGATTCCTTCTTTCAGAGCTTCCTGGTCCCCTCTTCTGCATCCCCCCCACCCCCTGCCCAGAACCTTCTCAATGGCCAGTCCTTCCCCTGCAGGCAGGATGTGCTGCTATTAATAACTCACACGTCCCCTCCCCTCCCACCCCCACTGCTCTGGCTGGTCTTGGCGAGATTGTATGCAGGGGCATTTGAGTGGCTTGGGGCTGTCTCGTAGTGACAGGCTCCAGGTCATCCCCTAGCCTTGCCCAGTGACGTGGGAGCAGGGCACTTTAGTCTGTGAAGAGAGCTGGTGTTACTACATCCCAAGGTGTACCTGACTCCTGGCAGTGGCCCTTGGAGTTCCGGACCGTTGGTAGTTCCTCCTGTTTGACAGGCTGGCTGGCTGGCCGGCCCTGGCTCTGCGTCAGGCCTCTGCTCACCCGGCCGTGGCCTCTGCTGAAGAACAAGCCAGGCTCCTGGACATCTGGCAGCGCATCCGACAAACTTTCTCCTTTCAACCCTTCTTTCTTTTCCGCCCTTTTCTTTGCTTTCTCTTCCCTTTCCTCCCTCCCCTCTCCCAGGCTGCTGTTGCAGCCGCTGCGCTGCCTCCTCCCTCCCCGAATCTGCAGCGAGACTGGAAATAGGCTGAATTAATCAGCACATTGAAGCTCTGCTCTGCTGCGCCCAGCTCTCCACTGCACCGGCTCCTCGCTCGCTCTCCAGCCCTTTCTCCTCTCCCCGCCAAGGGTGGTGTTGGGAGTTAGGGTGGCTAACTCCTTGTGGCT